TCTTCCCTTTGTAAATAGCAGTGTAATATTTACTGTATGGATAAGATATAGATTTTAATCACCCTTTAATGTTAGGCAATTGAGCTATTTAGAATACTGTTATTATGCAAATAAGTCTGGAAGCTTTCCCTCAGCCATTCCTCCCCAAGGATCGGCAGAATCAAAGGGTAGTGCCTGAAGGGTTTATCTGTTAATTCCCATCCTTAGTCTATTTTTTTCCTGTTATCAGAAAATGCACACCCACCCCCGTGTTACAGATTTTTTTTTGTCCCTACTAGATTACTGGCATAGTCTCTGTCCATATGGGGGATTTCAGTCCGTGGAATTATTCCCCATGTCAAAGATAATCGTAACTCTGTAAGTCACACCTCTCATCATGAGGTTGTACTGGTACTTTAATTACTATCTTGAGTCTACTCCAAAGCTCCATCCTTCCGGTATTCCCTCTACTCACTTAAATAACACTCAGCTGACTTTTAATATGCACTTTTAATATTAGGCTTTAATGCTTCTGCTCTCAAGAGATGTATATCACTACTACAGAAGTTATCAGTCCTCCATGGTTTTCAAATAAGGAATTTATTTGTGTTTTCTGAGAAACACCCAGGTTGGCTTGGGAGGAGCAAGCAGGAAAACAGAGCATTAAGCTGTCAAATATCCCTGAACTCACTCTTTTGTGTTTGCACTTCCAGGCAGGACTCCTGAAGGAGGAGAAATAAGCAAAGACCCCATGGCTACACTTTCAGAAATTTACATAGTGACAGGTCAGAAGACAATTTCATTCTAGCTTTCTACAGTTGTCTTCTAATCAGCAGATACTCAAGCCTGTAATCTCAGGACCTGGGAGCCCGAGACAAGAGGCTTGCCTTGCTTGCTTGAGTTCAAGACCAGCTTGGGTACAGAGTGAGACCTAGTCTTAAACTAAGCATAAAAAAACAAAACAAAACTATACATTTCCTTTGAAAACTGTTTCACACATTAGAGATAAAACAAACATTTTCAAAAAAGATAAGGGTGAGTTATCAGCCATGAAGAGATGAAAGGTGGAAGCCGTTCTTCAAAATTTCAATGTTAGAAAAAAAAAAGACAAAATCTGAATTATTTAAACCTTTTGGAACACTAGGATGACATCAGTATCAATGTCCCTGAAATGACAAAAAAAAAAAAAAAAAAAAAAAAAAAAAAAAAAAAAAAAGGTGAACAAAGACAAACTCCTGACCAGATGCCAAAAAATAAACCATATGGAGACAAGAAGCTGGTCTTTTCATTGTTAAATAGGCCATGGCCTATACTATGTATGTGTTCCATCACAACAAACACAGATAGTAGAATCACATAGCACTCGTCCATAAACATGAGCCTTTGGGATCAGAAATGAAACCCTTAAGACAAAGCTGGCATAAACCAATAGTGTTGATTCCTGGCCTGGTCTTTTGTGTGCTTTGTAACAGTATTGGTATAAAAAAGGCACAAGTCCCAGCACTCGGGAGGCAGAGGCAGGCGGATCGCTGTGAGTTCGAGGCCAGCCTGGTCTCCAGAGCGAGTGTCAGGATAGGCTCCAAAGCTACACAGAGAAACCCTGTCTCAAAAAACAAAACAAAACAAAACAAAGTAGGGCACAAGTCAAATAAGAGAACAGCTTGATCTTTGTTAGGACTAGAGCTTTGGGGTAGGTTACTGCAACCTGTGTGCAGCTTGGGGGTCCTGGAACCTTGACTAAGGGTGGAGAGAGAATGAAGCAATGACAGACCAATAGACACTTGTGCAGGAAAGCTGGGCTAGGTAGGGGTTGCACACTGATGGAGGGCACCTACTACTGCCAGCAACCCAGAACTTCATTGTGTTTATTATGTACAGCACAAGGGGGAGGGTTGGCTAGTCTTGGTAGGAGGCATCTAGCAGGCGAGCAGGCTCAGGCTGTACACATCAGGGAGGAGGAACCTGCAGTTGCTAGCTTTTGTACACACTGGTCACTAGCTGATACTAGAACCCCCAGTAAAGTTTTGCCACTCCTCGTGAGCCTGGCCTATATGGGGAATGGCTTTGCCAATTTACTATGGGTGCGAAGCTTAGCAATCTTTGTCACGGCCATGGCCATGTCAACAATATACAGTCACTCAGAACTTTACCACTCAGAACTTTCTGTTTTCTACAACTGGTGCTCTAAAATCTTGAGGGCATACACTACCACTGCCTGGCTCTAAAAATCTTTTTCAACTCTTACCTTCCAACTCCAGAAAGTTTGAAGCTGCAATGCATTAACTTCCATCAACACATTTCCTTCCATTGGTTTCCTAGGTTTCCATCTCGTCTTGCATCTTATTTACTTTGCATTTTATCTTTAAACATAGTGCTCCTGAGTCTTTGGACAGGGTGTAGGCACCCTGGATCAAGATGCAAGTCCATTCGATTAAATGATTGTGATGTTCATTAAGGCCTACTTATAAAATCAGCACATATATGCAGGCACACCTACAAAAAAAAAATGACACCTGGATTCCCGTCACTCAGTTAAGAACTGCAGCTTTGGCATCTCCCAAATCCCTATTGGTATCTCTCATTTTCACTTGTATAGTCCCCATAAGCAAAAAATAACTCTATTTGAGACAGGGTCTTGCTGTGTAAGCTTAAGCTTACAATCAGCTTCATGCTTTAACAGTCTTCTAAGACGCTTCTTCATTTCAGATTTGGATTAAATCCATCTCATATGTATTCTCAACTGTTCTAGTGCATGACTTCCCTTATGTCTTCTCAACAGCTCTTAAATGTTGAGAAGCAGTTCAACTTGTCTAAAGGTCTTTGAACTTAGTCACTGTGCATACCCAGAGATCTAGGATTCCTGAGCTGCTTTCTGAGGTGGTGGTAGCTCCTTACATGCCATTGTCGGAGGTTCCCCTGCTCCTCATCCTTGGGGATTACAGATGCTTCTCTGTGGGATGTCAGCTGCTTAAAATCTCCAGTAGCTGGGGGTGTAGGTATGTTCACTAGTGGGGCTGCTAGCTGCCCTAAGACAGTTATTGCATGGATTCATGCTTTTGTGGGAATTTGAAGTAGTGTAAATTCAAAACTCAATAATGTGGATAAGTCTGTGGGTATAATTCCTAGCAGGCCTTTTTCAAATATCCAAAGCACAGGGTAAGTATGAAGTTCCTGTGGGCCCCTCTGCCAGGGGAAGTACTTCTAGTCTACTCTTGCACTGAAGGTGTGTGTGGGGTCAGCTTAGAACTGGGCAGCACGTAAAGCTGAGACTCAATGACAGCTTCCCATGTGGTGACAACACCCAATCTCTTTTGTTGGCTAACATCAACACCATTCTTTCTCCCACCTGACTCAAGTTCTGGTTTGTATTCCACGAGGAAAGGTGTTCTCTTAGGATTCTTGCCCAGTTCTTGCCTAGCTTCTCTTATTTTCTTGTATTCTGTGTCATATATGGGCAGAAGGTGAGGTTCTTCCTTTTCATAATTTTATTTACAAATAACTAAAAATGAAAGTGGGGAACACAAAAGTAGTTTTGAGGTCTTGTTTATCTCAGTGTGTAAGCCAATTTCTCTGTTCAGGCTGGCTTCAAACTTACTATGTAGCCTGGGTTGGCCTTGAGCTCATAATCTTCTACTTCTACCTCCCAAATGCTGGGATTGTAGGCATGTACCACTCTGCCCAATTATAAAGGTAATTTGTAAGTTATTAGTATCCAGTCAAACTATTTGAATGATGGAATTTTCTATAGGGTTACACTTGAAGTGTGCCTAAAACATTTTGGTATTATTTCATTTAAATAAATATGACAGCACAGTATTAAATAGTATATTTTTCATTCCTTAAGTGGTGTTATGAACTGGTTACCAATGTAGTCTTGCAGGATGAAGAGCTGTGATGTGACCTCTTCACATCTTCAGTTTATTTTCAGCCACAGAACTGTTTGGCTTTCTGATTCTCAAACATTAGCTGCTAGGTTCTCACTGGTCAGGGGATCACCTGGGCACAGGTTTTTTTTTTTTTTTTTTTTTTTTCTTTTATTTTTTTTTTTTTTTTTTTTCCTTTATAACACAGGGCTTCTCTGTGTGGCTCTAGCCGTTCTGGAAGTAGCTCTGTAGACCAGGCAGGCTTCAAACTCATAGAGATCTTCTTATTTCTGCTTCCTGAGTGCTGGCATTAAAGGTGTGTGCTACCACTGCCTGGCTCTAAAATCTTTTTAAACTCTTACCTTCCAACTCCTTTCTTTTCACTAACATCACACCACTACTGCTGGGCCAATTTTTTCAATTAAATTAAAGTATCAAGGAATTTCAACGATATACAGTTAGAGGCATAAACATAAATATTTAGAATACAACATGATATAGCAGAAGGTAAAATTTGTGTTTTTTGTTAATTTTTAAACTACATTTATTCAGAAGGTTGAAGGACAACTTGATGGGTTCTCTCTGTCCACCAGAGACCAAACTCAGGTTGTTAGTATTGGTGGTAAATGTTTTTATCTCTTAAACCATCACAATAGTCCTGTTTGGTTTTTAGGTTTTCTTTTTTAACTGAAAAGATTAACTGACAACCTGTACATAGGTACACATTAAAAATGACATACACTCTGTTTTCCTTACAATATTGTAGCAAATGCTGAGGGTCTTGTTCTGGGCTCAAACTGATCCAACATTTTAAATTTTCCAAGCCCATCACTGTGTGTGATAATTTCATACTTTCTGGCCATAAATGCAATGCCAACAGCAATGAGAGCTACACATTTGGAACTAAACCTGGCTGGCCTTTCAGAGTGCAATTTTGGGAGAGGACTGATAGAACTTGCCTAGCAAGCCCCAGGTTCAAGGTCCAGCACTGCATAAATAGTACAGCAGAATATACCTGTAATCCCAACACTTGGGAAGCATAGGCAGCAGAACCAGAAGTTTAAGGTCAACTCCAGCTATACAGAGTTAGAGGCTAAGCTAGGAATCATAAAACCCTATCTTTAAAGCAAATACCCAGTGAATTATGGAGTAAGGAAATAATACAAGCAGTGAATATATATTGTTGAAAATCAAATGTAAAACTGGTTTGAACTGATGCCCAGACATATGTTTATTGTACTTGAATGATTCAGAAACATTTAGGTGAGGCTCTTCAACTCCAGTGAGGATATTTCAAACATTTACCTATTAAGAAACTGTAAACACCCTCAAGACAAAATTTGCAAACAAACTTTTCTCTACAAAATATATGCATATAAGCATGTATTTCTTAGACTGTGTGTAGCCCGCTCTTTTCTTGGTAATCTTCATAAAAACGCATCAGCGACTCTGGGATTCTAGGTGTCACGATGCTCAAGGCTTGAGTGAAATGCCTCTTCATAATTCGGTCAGCTTTAATGTCTTCTTCTAGGGCCAAGAGAGCAGCCTCCTTGCAGACGGCTATGATCTGAAATTGAACAAGTAAAAGGGGGGAGAAAGCAGTTAGCATTTTTTGTCAACAACTTATTTTCAACATATTTATCTGTGGTGTGACATTTTAAAAAATCCCTTATTTTTGAGATTGTAATTACATCTTTCCCCCTTCTCTTTCCTTTGTCTAAAACCTTCCATGTGCCCCACTACCCCCTTTCAAGTTCACAGTCTCTATTTCATTGGTGTCGGCGCGCGTGCGCGCGCGCGCGCGTGCGTGCGTGCGTGCGTGCGTGTGTGTGTGTGTGTGTGTGTGTGTGTGTGTGTGTGTTGGGAGTAGAGGTGTGGTTCTAAATATGTACGTACAATTTGCTCAGTCTGTATAGTTTTATTTGTATGTATGTTTTCAGGGTTGACCATTTGGAACTGGATGACCAATTGGTGTGCTGTCAACATTATTTAGCTGGTATGTAGGGTTGATGCCTTGTGGGCTTTCCATGTAAACATGTTTATAGGTGTTGTCCTTTTTAAGGAAGCTATGATGGTGAGACTTCACACTGAGTGTAACTTCTGACAAGTAGTATGACTTCTGCATTATGAGCACATCCCTGTGGGAGTTACTCAACTTAAAGTTTGGTTTTTTAGTGGTGCATACATGGACCCAGGGTCTTACATATGCTAGGCAAACCCTCTACTTTCAGCTTACAAATGGAAACCATATACAGAACTGTCTGATCTTTCCAGAGCAAACCAGAACCAGCACAAAGATGCACGACAAGCATGCTCACTCTTCAGAGCATGTGCTGTTAAGTGTGTGGATCTGATATGCCACCCAACTTCCATTCCCACTCCCAACACTGCCAAGGACTGGCTTCCTGTGAGTTTTGGAGGGAGGAGCCCTAAGCAGAGGTACTATGATGCACAGTGAGGTCCTGCTAATCAATAATCAGTACCCCTGCCATAGCAGAGTTTACACATTCCTTTCAACCTTTGCTGTATGACAGCGTGTGAAGCATTTCTTTCCTGTGTCTCTTTCAACATCTGTGAGTGCCCTTGAATTTAGTAAAATAATTTATATTGTGGCATAGAACTTTGAGACAGAACAGTGGGAATATCTGGATTAGATGATATGTTCTGTAGAACCTTTGAAGGAAGGCAAATGTGAGACAGGTGCTGAATACTGGGCCTGATGGCCTCATGTCAGAGCCCTTCTCACAGCTGTATCCAACCTGCATGCAGCCGACAGGCCACATGTTGCCATAGAGAACCAGGAATGTGGCCCAAAACAGAATTGTAAACTGCAAGCTTTATGAGATGTTCTGATAATTCAACTCATGATTCTCAGTTCATCTCTAGATAAAATACTGCCACAATGTCACCAACTAGACACCCACTGCTGGAAGGAATTGCTGTTATATTTCCTACTGATAACTTTAGCATTTACTTCAACAGACTTTACCTTGTCTATCACGTTAGGGAATGCTGGAAAGGAGCAATTATACAATCCTTTCTGTCAAAAATTATATTTTGCTTTCCTTCCAAATCTACTTAGTAATATACAACCAAAAGTAGGACAATATGGATTTCTTAGCCAAGCTTCCACTCTTCAGTAAATACCAGTGGGCTAGGTGCTCTGTGCAGTGAGTGCAGAAGGTCAACTATAAGATTAGGAGGTGTGAAAATTGTATGTCTTTCTGTCCCCACACACTAGCAGGGGATGGACATAGGTTGATTGCCAGGAAGGAAAACCATAGTGTTTGTGTGGAGAGAAGGAAGACATTGCTAAGTGTGAAGAACAGAATTCTCATTCTCTCTCACTGTCTGTCTCTGTCTCTCTCTCACACACACATACCATCTGATTATACAGAATAAAAGTGAGCAAAGAGAGCTGGAGAGGTCTAGCTGCACAAGCCTGATCACCCTTTCTAGAGCCCATGGTGGAAAGACAGAACTGACTTCTAAAATTTGTCCTGACTTCCACATGTATGCTTGGCCTCAGGAAACAAAAATGATAATTAGGAAGATTTTGACAAGGGTTTCTGAACAGGAGCAAAATTGCTGATATCAGTCCCCTGAAGCCCTGAACCCAACCTGCTGACAGAGCAAGCACTAAGGTCCTCTTTGTTTCCACTTGTTCCTCACAAGAGACCTACTGGCTCTTTTCTTCTAACCCTAACAAAAGGATGGGTCTGGAAACGGCTGTACTTCATGACCAGGGGTTTCCTTATGTTCTAGGCATCACTCTGGAAAGACTTCTAAGACAGCATATTTCTGAAGAAAAAAAATGCAGCTCCCATGGACCAGGTCAACATTTCCTTGGGTGATAGCAATGGTCAGTATTCCATGATCAAAGAAGTTTAGACCAACATAAAACACATTGTGTTCCACTCAGGGAACAAGTAGAAGAAAGGAAGCTGATGGACTTTTCAGTCTAGCAATGACAGTTGCTCAGTCTGCTCTAACCCATTTATCTTAGTGTTTTGCCCCCAAGTGTGGTGGTCTTAATGAAAATGGTCCCAATAGGCCCACAGGGAGTGGCACAATTAGGAAGTGTGGCCTTGTTGGAAGAAGTGTGTCACTGGGGGGTTTCAAATGCTCAAGCCAGGTCCAGTGTAGCTCTCCTCCTGCTGACTGTGGATCCAGATGTAGAGCTCTCATCTACCTCTCCAGCACCATATCTGCCTGCATGCTACCATGCTTCCAGCCAAGATGATAATGGACTAACCCTCTAAACTGTAAGTCAGTTCCAATAAAATGTTTTCCTTTATAAGAATTGCTGTAGTCATAGTGTCTCTTTATAGCAATAGAACTCTAAGTCACCAAGACTCATACATTGGAGCCTAAGCATTGGAACTACACTCAATCTCCACCTGAATGGATAGGCCTGGTACCTTTATGGAAAGTCTTGGAGTTGGTTAGACCCCTCTGCTACATGAAGACACAGTGAGAAAGTTCCATCTTGGAGGAACAAACCCATGTGCCTGGTTTGGGGTTCCACAGGCACCCAATCTGTGAGCAGCTCCTGAGTACTGCCCATCAATTAGCCAGTCAATCTGACACAGTACCTGGGATACCCAATGTTTCCCACAAAACTCTTCTGCCCTCCTAATTTTAATAGACCACCAATAAAGTGTTTTATTACTGACTTTTTCTTTTTTCCTTTGGAAAATACTTATTATATTTGATTATTTCTGGAGGGTGTGTATGCCTAAGTGTGGAGTCAAAAATGAAGGGTAGAAGCCAGTTCTTTCCTCCTATTGTATGTACCCTGGGGAGAGAACTCAGGTTGCCAGGATTAGCAACAAGCACCTTTACCCAATGAGCCATCCTGCTGGTCCTTATTGGTGATCTTCAGCAAAACTATACCAGAAAACTTACTCATGGTTGATAGTGTGGTTCTTTCCCATTTTATAGCATTTTATACTCTGCTCTCTTGTATTTCAGAATAGAGACAAAAGGAAAGGGGCTGAGGACAGGTGAAGTACTATATATTACTTTGGAGGACTTAAAAGGAAGTTTGTTAAAAACAAAACATGCAAATGGGTAGTGCCCCTGGGCAAAGAATCCTGTAACCAGGGAACCTGTCCTTGGCCCTCTTCTCTGCAGTAAGCATTGGGAAGGTGAGGTCGTCTTAGATAAAGCTGCCCACATGCCTCTCTGGGAATGAGAAATGATGAGGAAAGGCCTTCGATCTAAATTATGACTGTCTGGTAGCTTATATAATAAAGCCTATAAAAAGAAAGCCCATGTGATAAGCTTGTGTTTGAGGTCTGGATTGACCACCTGTTTCTACAAAGCACACATGCACCACTCATCATGCCTTAAACCAAACTATGTCTAGGACTATTTCAGCATGGGGAATCATTTCAATTTCCTCCTTTTCCATGAGGCCACAGAAGAACTCTGCTGAGATGATGTGTAGATAAATGGATGATTTTAATTCACAGACAGTCAAGAATATAAGATTAACCTGCTCAGAAAGAAAATCCTTGGCCACTTGATTTTTTTTTAAACTTCTTTAGCAAAGAGGACTTTAGGAGTCAGCCTTAATTTCTTCAGCATCCTGCCCTTTCTCCTGATAGTGAAGGTTATGTATTTTAAAGGAATTTTTATCAGCAAGCTGTCAGAATGGGGGGGAGGGGGAGTTGCCAATAGGCTACAAATGCAAGTGTGTTATATTCTTATTCAGTTGACTAAACAATTGATACCTACACTTTCATATGTGCCTTGCTTCGAGGTTGAAAACATGGTTATGGGAATAAGAAAATGAGATAAAAACTATCAAACTGTGCCAAGATCTTACTGTCAGATCCAGACAAGATGTGTTTACTGTAGTGGTTACCACACACTTTATTTGGTGTCTCTACATCACACATTTTTCTTTCCATTCATTCAGCAGTTAAATATATATCTACTGACCAGTTACTTAACAAAAACACCAGATCAACAGGAACATATGAATTTGAGATGGACACCTAAGAGGACGAGTCTGTTACTAAAAACATCTACAAATCACTAGGTTCACTTAACAGTGAGTCTTTGTAAGTGAGGAAGGTAGTCAGTAATGGAGTCAGAGGCTCATATGAGTGTGAATTTCATTTTTCGTGTATTCTTTACAGCAAGCTGCATGGGGAAGCAATGCTCCAGGATGAGAAGGCTGTTGACCACTGAGCCTTGGGAAATCTAATCACTTCACTTCTAAATGCAAAAGGGCAAAAAGGCAATTGTATGAAATTCTGAAAGCCATGAAGAACAATGTTGCACTTCACCATGGGGGGGGGGGAGGAAACCTCTTCTATATAGCCTATATAGCTTCCTGCACCAGAGAAGCAGGGTTTGAACAGGTATTTCGACATAGCAAAAATTAAAACCAACATAGCTTCTAAGCAGACGGCAATGTTTTTTTAAAAAACGTAACAAGGAGTAAGTTAAGACCATCACTGTCTAGTAAAAAGTAGTCAATAGGAAGGAAAACTCGGCCATGCTTGGAAATTTCCTGGACTTTATCCTCTGTGTGCTACAGCATTTCCTTTTTTT